CTCCTCCTGCACAGCCCCGACCGTCCCGTGCCCTGAGCTCGGGCTGGTTCCGAGCGTCCCGGAGCAGCAGCGGCCGCAGAGGTCCCAGAGCCTCTCGCCGGTGTCAGCCTTCGGCCTGGCTTCAATACCCGCTTCTGAAATATTTTTACTCCCGAGAAATTAAAGTAATGCTGCTGAATATTGCATGTAATAAAAGCCAAGTGTAGTTCCTCTTTAACCGACCTACTTTTGATTGTGCCTGTCATCTGAATGCTGTGCTATTCTATCCACTTAGCAACTTCCACTGTTCCCCTTATTCTGTCCACTGCTGTTTGTAAAGAGTGAGCTCTGCTTAAATTATGAATGAGAGAATGAACTCTGGAATAGAAGGGAGTTTCTCAACAGGACAGTTAGGTTTAAAGGCTCCATTGGCGCATTCAGCATTTAAAAAAAATATATCTTAGAGAAGATTTGTTTTTATTTATGTAGTATTCTAAACTAGTGCTTTAAATTTTAAAATATTCCTAAAGTTTTGCACTTTTGGAAGTGGACTTCCTACAAAGAAGCATCTTTTAAGGATACAGCATTTGATCATGTACCTCAGGAGGCTACAGTAATATTGGCACATAAATCCTGGCTTCTTAGCATCTGTAGTATTCCCTTAATACATGTTTTGATGTAATTTAGTAACATGTGCAGCTCAACATTAGCTAAAGGCTGTTCCAGTTAATCCTGTTCCCCATAGCTCTCCAGAATCCAGACACAGTCAGTGTGCAGATCGTGTGCAGCCCCAAATCAGGGTGGAGTGCCCGTTTCTAAGCTCTGAAGCACTGTGAGTCACAACCAAGGTTTTTGCTAGGGAGGTGGCAAGGCAGAACAGGGGGTTTTATTTTTGTGGGTATGTGTAAGATGGAAAGGACACAGACACCAGCAGGAGTTTTTTGGGAACTCCTGAGGAAACAATGAAATTCCATCTACTGTGGAATGAATGCTCACGCTAATTATTCCACCTTGTTCCTCAAAAGAAAAAGTACATTTCAAAGTCTCATTTAATTTTTAAACAATAAATAGCATTGAAAATATACTGTACTGAACACTATACTAAGAATGCCTTCCTCATTTTGCAGAAGAGCACACAGTAACCCCAAGCCATGCTCTGCTGATCCTCAAGGTGGCTATCTACACACAGCTGCTGCAGCCTCTGCTTGTGAGCTGCCTTTTATGCTACTGCAAACTGCATTAACATGTCTGCTATAAATCCTGTTATCCCGAATTTCCTTATGTTTACATTTTGCGTATAAATAAATCACATGTGGAACATGGCTGTAAGAATTACCCAAAGTAAACTATAATTATATGTGAGAAGAAAAGGGGACAGACACATTACGAGCATAAAATGTCAAACTGCTTGATAGGAATGACTACATGTAGTGTTCCTAATAACTCACAACCACGTATTTTTAAATATTCTGTATTCCATATAATTATGCACTTAACCCTCGATGAATTCAGCAGGACAAATGACCAACATGGCCCATTCACAAAGCCTGTCATTCTGCAGACAGAGCAGTGCTTGTGACATCTAACCCAAGTTAATATCCTATTGACCCACTGGGCTTGCACACAGCTCCGTGTCACTGACAGACCACAGATGAAAGGCAGGCCAAGACTGCTGTTTACTCTAAAGCTCCTTCATACTCCTTTAGAAGTATAAAGGAGTTGTAAAGTGATAACAGGACTTTGGCAGTGTACAATGGGCCTGCTACATCTCTTTTATGTTGACAACCCTGTCAGTAACACCAGCACGAGACATTTGCCATTAAACAGCAATGATTTCTTTAAACTACACTCTTGTTAAGAGAGACATGTTTTGTAATAATGAAATATGGTAAACAAATTCCACTTCCAAATGACACAACACTGTACAATTACGTATTATAACATAGCATGAAACAGAATTTTGTGCTGTGCCAGGATAGGAGTATGGTATTAATTTATCACAGCATTGCCCCAAAAGTGCAGAATATTCATCAAAACAGATGATTTTTTTTCTGCTAATTCAAACATAGAAATGGCTTGTATTTATCCAGCTGCATTAAAAAAACAGAGAGGAAAGGTTCTTGTAGAAGTATCAAAGACAATATGACTGCATTTTCTAAATATTAGTTATGTGATAGAAAGGGACTTGGATAAATATGTCAGGTTTTTCTGCCTCCGCTTGTTTGTTTAGGGCTTTTTTAATCATTATCTACTGTTCTAATGAATGATTTAGTAAAATAAATAATGTTAATCATGTTTAGCTAAATAGTTTGGGGCTTGAGATGGAAAAGCAGCACAGACTGAGGTTGCCCGAAGATGCCCTTCTTAGGGCAGAAGCTGAAGAGTATTTTGTAATAGGGATATTACAGCTACATTCTTTAACAAGAATAAGACCTTGCTCTGCCTGTGATAAAATGCCAATAAAATCTGCCAGAAAACTGCAGTTCATATATGACATTGGTTTAGCTCCCAAGTTTTCCAGCTGATACCAGCTCTGTAGTCTATGGTTAAATATTGTATTTGTCAGGATTTCTGTAATCTGTCTGATTGGGAAAATTGGAACTGCCCAGATCAGAGTATAAATCAAGGCACAATATTTGACACTGGGGCAGGAGTCCCTTTTGGCTCTTTATCTATCAAAAGCACGCAGCCTTCCAGTAGTGGCAGACATCCTTTACATGGCATCACAATGCTGGCTCATCATTCTGCTAGTCACCAAGTTTTGGCCATAAACTTTCCGGTTGTTCTTCTCAAAATTATTCATTTCATCTTAAATGGGTATGGAGGACATAACTCATATGACAACCACCTTTTATGCACTGCACTGTTATGGTTTTAACCTTGCCTCACTCCTGCATTATTGCAGAGCACACTTTTCCCATATCCCTTGGCAGGTGCTTTTTAACACCATGCTCTTTATGTCTGACAAAGTCAGTGCTTTCACAGAATACAAACTCAGAGTCAGCCACTGCATCAGGATCCCTTTTCCATCCCTGACAACACGAGAAAATGCTTTTCCATTAAAATTTACCACAGTTTTATGACTATTAAGGTAAATTGATAGTGTAAGTGAGCTTACCCATCTCTCAGAATGCTTTGCTGCCATTGTGAAAATCTTCTTTTCTACTGCTAAATCTTTACATAATATTTGACTGTTTGAAGCGTAGCTGAAAAAAAAAAATATTAATTACGCATTCTGCTAGCAAACAACACTGTGCTGTGTACTGCAGTGTGTTTTGCATGTGCTAATCAAGTAGACACTTAGGAAAGTAAAAAGCTGCCAGACCAACAGCACTAGGTCCCAGTGAAGGGTGAGGTGCTGTTTGGAGCAAACCTGAGCTCCTGGGAACAGGATGAGGAGTAGCAGCCTGCCAAACCTGCTGTGGATGTCACAGCTCCTGGGCATGAGGAACACCCTCAGGAACCAGCTGTGACCATAATAGCTGACTCTACTGAGGTAGGCAGAAGCCTTGTGGAACACCCTTGATTTGTCAATATAATAACACATTTCATTTCTTTCGATCATCTGGGTTAATTTTACTAGAACTTATTTGTTCTGCAATAATTGCAAGTAGAGGTCACACTTAATGTACTGAAGAAGGTACTTTGTTCTTTTGGTTTTGCTTTACCAAGAGCAGGACAATAGCGTTAAGCATCACAAAATAATACACTGCTTTTTGGCAACACATAAATTAACTGATTCTGAATTCAAAGTTTAGATACATCTGTAAACTGTCAGCATGAGTGAAATACACTGAAATCTCCCTTGGGTTTTGCTCACAATTGCAACCAAACCCATAAATCTAGATTTAGAGGAATGAGAGTAGTGCCAGAAACCCATGCCTTGTCTACACTTAAAAGAGTTGGCTGGTATAGCTACACCTTAGAGCTGAATTGGCAAGCACAGATTTCGGGTGTAAGTTAAATCACTTTTCTCATGGAATATGCTAAAGTGGCTGAAGGAATCTGCCAATATAGCAGCACCTACTCCAGGGCTTTTGCCAGTGTGGCTGTAGCTGCATGCAAGGGATTTTTCATCATTCTGACAGCTATTTTGGCAAAACTCCTACATTTAGACCAAGTCCAAGTTAAAGTTGGCGTTGTTTTATGTTGTAAATAAAGCAGAAGAGAAGCATTACCAGTTTATTGCCCTGGTTTTACATTATTTTAAATTGTTTGTTCTAAAGGAATGTGTGGGGCAGGGTCCATGTGGTCCTTTGGATGCTTGCCTCCCACATTTGTGCTGCATTAAAATTGCATGGTTTTTCAATGACTGAACTTTGGCAGAGGGGAAACTTACCTTACTAAAAAAAGATAGTGTCTGTATTATTTACCCAAGAAATGGCTATTCTGATGATTTAAGGCAAATTTCCAAACTGAAGTGAGCTCCAAAAGGAAGCATTTGGGCCAAAGGACATGTGGATTAATACATAATTCTTCTTCATTTTGTCCTCAGTTCAACAATGAATGTAAGCACATAAAGGATTAATTTTAGGCACACTCGTAAGCCCATCTCAAGTTTAGTAATCATGTCAGATATGATAATGCTCCTATTTGAATTTTAATTGAGCAGATATTTGAAATTAATCCTGTGTTCTGCACTATGCAGAATCAGGATTTCTGTCAGAAGCGCGAGTTTACACAGAGCAAGGCTGTTTGTTGTGATGCCATCTGCATTTTCTTTCCTGAACTGGATGTTGAGCCCGTATTTTTAAAGACATCCCAAGGGGCATTATTTTTCCACATAAGCACATTTTACGTCCTTTAGCTCTTTCCCCCCCTAATCTTTTGCTCGGAGTTGTTTTGGCTTCAGCAGCCCGTGCAGAGGGGTCTCAGGGTTGCGCTGTTCGCAGCCGGGGTGTGCCCGGTGCCCGGGGATGCTGCGCTGGGGACGCACGGCGGGGTTCATGCGCAATCGGCCGGGGGGACGGGGAAGTGCGAGCTAACCGAGCCTCCTTCCTTCCTTTTTTGTAAGAATGTGCCCTCTACAAGAAGGCACAGACATCTTTTCCTGCCGTTCGGGCTGTGCCTGGCCTCGCTCGGAGCTCTCATGTGCCACAGCTAAAAGAACTCCGCCGTTGCCAGCTCCGGGGTCCAGGGCTGCTTAAAACTCAGCGGAGGAGCCGGAGCAGCACTTACCCCAAACGGAACAGGGTGAGTTCTGCTCAAGATAAAATCCTGTCATTTGTTGCAGGGGGGTTGTGATGTTTTGGATTTTTAAATTTTTTCCCCTTTTAATACGGAAAAACAAGTAGTAAAAAAGTTAAAAGAGCTTGCGATGAGTTTTAGCTGTGAAAAATGAAACTGTTTACATGAAATGCAGTTGGTGGTCAAGGTATGTATATTCGAGGCAGAAGACCCGTGTGTCAACATCCACTTATGTTCTTCAGTTTGCAAGTGTGTTATGTATACCAGTAAACCATGCTTTAAAATAATATATATATACATATGTATATGTATATTATACACATATATACTCACGAGTATAAAACTATGCACATGCAAAGATTTTTTTCAATGTAAATACAATTTTTTTTTACAAAGTTATCCCAACTTATAACGAACAATTTATAACCAAGAAAAAAGTTGTCATTTAAATCTGTTTGGCCATTTTCACATTCCTTGTTTAATCTACTATATATCCTCTTGGGAAAATCTGCTGTGATTTTCAAAAGACTGAGCAGCTAAACAATAAGTAAGTGGCTATTCTTCAGGTTCAAAAAGCAGATCATGAGGTGGACTGAAGAACAGTAAGAACTTTCACTCCAAGAATAAGGGCTTCCATGATGCTTTCATTAAGGAGGATGACAACATCTGTACATTTGCTTGTGCAAGCCAGCCAAAGGAAAGGTTTCTGTTAGAGGAAAGTGGTTTGCACTTCCATTATTTCCAGTGGGGAAAGTAATTTCTTTTCTTTTTATAACCTTACCGTTTGCCAGAAATCAAAAAGTCTGCTGAAGGAGTTTCCTCACTCTGTATCCAGCATTGCATAACTGTGGTAAAGTGGAGGCAAAATGATATGTAGCAACAATCTTTCTAAACCCTCCCATTACTTAATAACCACTGCTTGGGCATTATTTTAGCAGGGTTTCTTGTAAAACTATATTGTTCTGTTATTTGGTTTTCACTTGTTGGCTGGACTGTGAGCAACACTTCATTCGTGCTAAGGGAACACAGCACCTTGGCAAAGTTATTAGGATGTTCTTAGAACTTTTTCAACTACTCATATAACACAGTGATGTAACAGGTAGGTTTTGTTTGTTTGCTTAAAAAAACCCCAACAAAACAAAAAACATCATTAAATGTGGAGATATTTAAGCAGCAGAATGGCCAACCTGGTCTGTGGTGTAGGAGTATACTGTATTAAGTATTTTGTTAATACACGATAAAATAGTGGTCCTAGAACAGATCTAATATAGCACAGTATATGTAGGGTGAAAGAATGAGTAAAAGGAGAATACTTGTATAATAATTAGAAAATTCAGATCTCCTTCCACCAAGCCATTGTCAAAGTCAGTTGTTTTGTTTTCACAGTACAGAGACAAGTCTCTGGAAGGAACCTAAAACTGTGAAATATGATAAAAACTTTATACTATTTTAGATATTACCGTATTTTTCCCTACAGGTTGTGATTAAGAACAGACAATAAGCTTTTGAGTCTTGAGAACAGTAAATTTTAGCAGTGTAAGAGAAGCAGGGTGCTGGTTATACTAATTATCTCAAAGATTTTTAGTTCATCTGAGCTCACACTTGCAAGCTTGAGGGCAAAATACAAGAAAGAAGAAATCTGCTCACACGGATGTTCAGGACAAAATTCTCATAGTAAGAACAGAGTTCCCCATCTAATCTTATTCAATGTAATTTATGGTTTTTTAATTTGATTTTAAGCTGCCAGAAAAAATCCAAACACTTTCACTGGTAACAGTAATGGGGATGGTTCTTTACTATGTAGATATTTCTATTTACTACTTTAGTTTTTATGAAGTTGCATTGATACAAGTTCACAGAGAACAAAGAATAATAAAAAAAAATTACCAAACTGGATCCCTTAAAGGTGTGGTACTAATTCATGGGGTTTGTAATTTTTCAGTGATAGCAAGCAATGGACCAAGATTCACACTGCACAGCAGAAAGGGAACTGTTGGAAGCTGTAAGCAGAATTACTACATCTTCTACCACAAGTCCATCTGATGAAGAAGAAAATCAACCCAAAGCTGAAATTTCATGTCAAGTGACAAAAGAAAACCCAGAAAAAGATGACACTCGAGGTTGATGCTATCCTTTAATTTTGCTTCTCATCTATCTGTTTATGCTGTTAATCTTTGTATTAAAAACTTTGCTTATTTATTGCAGCAGTGGTTCAAAGCTGTACTGCCATACTCCACTGAAAATAAGCCTTGATTACAGTTGTAGTAATAATGTAGCAATAGTGAAACCAATGCTCATCCTGGTGGGTGTATACACACACAGAAGTTTCCTTTCAAATGCCTGGTGCCTAAAATGTATCACAGATTTAATTTCCACACCAGGAATGAAAGTGGTGATCAGATGGCTGGTCTTAGGAGTGCACTTTCTGTGCATCACCAAATCTGAACTTCTTGACAATATCAGCAAGGACACCAAACTGAAGCTAATCTCAAGCAGGCAGCTCTCATGCCATTAAAGAAGCAGCACTGAACATTTACCACGCCTAAGATTGCTCTCATCTCTTATTGAATAAAATGCTATGCATAACTCAAAATATATATAATCTCATCAAGACTTTAAGTCTGGAAGGATGTCATAAAAACCACCTCTCCTAGGAAATAGATGCTTTGTAGGGGTGGAGCCAAACCCCCAAGGCCTTGATAATTGAAACTATATGGTCAAATGATTAAGAACATGTAACAGTGGGGCCACTGAAAGAGTACTGTGGTGCCTTTACAAGTCTATTTCTGCACCAACTCTTATCTTACCTTTCAATTGTGCTCTTTAACCTCCATTGGCAGAATGTTAGCTACATCCTCGATTAGAAACTGGGACCAGTGTGCCCACCGAGATACAAATTTTCCATTTATTTTATCCACTTTGCTAGCCTATGTGCCACCTGATGAAATCTATTGTCAGTAGATTTCAAAGACAGAGAAATCACCTTTTTGAAATGCTACATCAAATTCTCCTTTAAGCAAACTTTCCAACCAGCTGTCCCATATTTTTTATATATGCACATATAGATACATGTGTGTGTGTGTGTGTGTGTATAAGTAAGTGGGGGAAGAGAGAGAGGGGAAAGGAGGGAGGTATATAAAATATTTGTGGCTGAACTCTGCCATCAGTTCAGCTACAAAAAAAAAAAAAAAAAAAGAGAAAATGTGAGAATTCCTCCTTCAGCTGAGCTGGTTATCCAACTTTGAGGTTAGAATATTCATGTTTTCTCAGCTTTCTCCTATTACCACACAAACCCCATGTTTGAGTAGGGTCAGTTTTTGAATATAAGTCTGAATTTTCAGCTGCATTGTATTATCTCATCCATTTAGCAATAAAGAAGCCTGGAGAAACATCTGACTCAAAAGCTCAGTCAATGTTTCTTAGGACCACTTCTGGGGTGATGAAGCAAATTTCCTGCTCAGATTGTGCCCTAGGTTCCAACCCTGACATACAATATTTCGTGACAATATGTTCTCTACAATTTAGTATTCTGCAGGTGATATGTTTTCTTTCAAAATTTCAGACCCTAATAGCTTTCCTCAAAGCTATTAGCTATCTGCTCCTGTCTATTAGCAGTGAAATCACTTATTTTATCAGTCTTTAGGTCTTGCTGTTACAACAACAGAAAATCTAGGCTGTCTTTTCACAACAAATACGTAAGAATTTTCTTTCCAAATGCAAAGAATATAATCTGAATCACTAAATCTATTGGTTTTAGATTCCAGTGCAACTCTAAGTCCCAACTCTTCAATGACCACTAAGGAACTTCAGGAATATTGGAGGAATGAAAAACGCCAGTGCAAACAAATCAAACTCCTTTTTGAAATCCCATCAACCAGAATTGTAGAGCACCACTTATCGAAATATGTGGTAAGCTAAGAAATGAATATGTAAGAAGATCATTAATTTTTATTCACTCTAGAGGGGTCTGCACAGCACACAACAGGCCTCACTCATGAAAGCCTCACCGAGGGCCAGGTTTTGCAAGCCATGATCACACTGAATAGAACCTGTTCTCACTGATTGTATGGGCCTGGCTGGTAGAATCTGCATCTGAAAAAACCCTTTGGCAGTTCGCAAAATACACTGCAGTGGAAAAGTGTTATCAAACAAATTAATATCTTGAGTATCCTTGAAACACAGAGTTTTGTCAACATTAAGGAAATTCAGGCAAATGTAAAAATATCTGTGTATTTACACTTCTCCTGAGATAGCCAGCTGTGGCAGCTGCAGTGCATTTGTAGAACTTCCACATCAGATGTTTCTCTCAGCACAAGTGCAGAATCTTTTGATGTTGACAAAGTCTAAGACATCCTCGAGCTAGATCACTTGGGATTGTTCCCCTTCTCTACTTGGAGCTCCCTTAGGTGGCTCCTAAGAAAAAATATTTCTGTCGTATTTTTAAGAGGAAACATTAGTATGAGGAGTGGGAACAACCAAGCAGGTTGGGTTTTTCTATCTTTTTTCACAGTACTGACACTTAGTTTTTATTTCTGATTCTGCTTCTGGCCTTCAGAAGGACTGATCTAGAGTAAGTACCTTTTAGTACTCCTGTGAAATTCAGATAGGGATGATTTCCTTGTTTGCTACAGTCTGTGAGAGCTGTAGATGAAAAATGCCAAGAATCAGCATTGCTGATACTGGATGATCCAGTTGGGTAGAATTTGAAGCAGGTAAATATTTTGGAGACTGTCCTAAGATCTTGTTGCATGCTGGACACACCTACTTAGTTGCTGCTTTTCTTGCATACACTCCTGAGTATTCAGCTTCTGAATAGCTAAAAATTGGTTTTGTGTAACTGCATGAGAGCAAGAGTACCATTCACCATCTGTGCAATTAAACTTAGTCATAAGTCACAAGCCTAGGCAAAAAGATTTACATTACAACAAAATTGAGCCAATTTGAACGACAGTCTAATTAAGTGCTACTTCTTACCTTTTTCATGCACCCTCCACAAATAAAAAAATCAAGTACTTGTAAATTATTCACTTACCTGCCCTTGATAAAATAATAGCTTAAAAAATTGCTCTTATGATAGTTTTAGAATGCATCAGGCATATATACACTTTTCAGCAGGGAGCAGGACAAAGTATAGGAAAATGTCACAGTGCTTACAAATGAAAAGAGATCAGAGAAGCCAGCTCAAATTTAGAAACCTTTCAAGAAGAGCCTGTAAAGATCATTTATGAAGATTAAAAGAGAGAATTTCTCTTTAAGGAAAAACAAGGAAGAGAATCTGCAGCAAAGAAAATAACTGGCATGAGCAAAACCCCTCCAGGTCCTGTGTAAATCAGTGTGACCCAGGTGAATGTTAACATGGTCATCATCCAAGAGGTCACCAGTCTGTGTCCTCAGCTGGGGTCTGGTGACACACTTAAACTGGCCCCCATGCAGCTGCCATGGTTTACACATATCAGGGATTGGCCCTTCTTCAGCATCACTGTGCTTGGATCAGAACCAGAAGAGATTATTTGGACAACACAGCACAGAATTTTGGTCTGAAGCTATTTTCCTAATACTACATTTAATATGGTCTTTTTGGGGCTAGTGAAGAGCTGAGGAAGATGTGCTCTTGAGTACTGTTATTGTGGGGCAGCACAGCTGTTAGCTTCTACTGAAGGGCTTTTGATAGCAGATTATTGTAGAAATGTCACTTTTTTGGTATTTTTTAAAATGTGAAGTAAGTTTGAATACAACAATATGAATTAGAGGGGAGGAAAGGATTTGGAGTTGCTCCATCTTATTTTTGCACACACCAGATACATTGCCAAATATTCCCTCTTCTTTCACAGCACTACTAACACCCCAAATCCCTAGGAATGTCTTATATAAAGAGCATTTCTGAATATTATGACGGACATAAAATAGATTGCATTCAATATTAAGTCTGGGAAATCCATTTAGTTCACTGAAGATGATTGATTGCAGCAGCCATGGCTGTTATAAACAAAGTACAGCTACAGAAATGCTTTGAAAGTGTTTTTATGTGCTTCAGTCTGCTGCTAGTTTGCTTTCCAAGCACCTTGCAGGACGGGATCTGTTAGTGCCCTGTTTATGTACAACTTATTTACATGCTAAGCCTAAGTCTGGTGACAGAAGTACAGAACAGCAGGAGGTGGGGATTTTTAGTTTGATGGCTGCAGATCTCTCAGGTCTACACTGAGAATGCACCATAATCCCAGACTGTAACAGATTTAGCAGCAGTGCCATAGGAGTACATGAGATTACACACAGAAAATTGGTGCAGGAGTGTTTCAGCTGGAGGATTGAACAAGCACAAAGTCTTTTCATAGCAGTACCAGACAAAATCTGACTGCACTGGGACTATAGTGGTCCCTTCTCACGCTTATTTTTTCTCTTTGATTGTGTTTAGATGTATAAAATCATCATTTTGCAAACAGGGAGCTTTGACAGCAACAAGTCTGTAATTGAACGGCGTTATTCAGATTTTGAGAAACTGCACAGAAATCTGCTGGAGGAATTTAGCGAAGAAATGGAAGATGTAACCTTTCCCAAAAAAACTCTAACAGGGAACTTCACAGAAGAAATAATCAATGAAAGAAAATTAGCCTTCAAGGACTACCTGAGACTCCTATATTCTATGAAATACATCAGAAGATCAAAAAAATTTATTGACTTTTTAACAAGGCCAGAGCTTCAGGAAGCATACGGTTGCCTGCGGGGTGGCCAGTACACCAAAGCTTTGGAAATCCTTTTAGAAGTCATTGGGCTGCAGGAAAGGCTGACAAGAGGGAGCCCTGTTGCAATTGTCCCTACTCTCTGTGCCATCGTGGTGTGCCACAAGGACCTGGAAAACCCAGCAAGTGCCTTTGAATATGGAGAAAAAGCTCTGTCACGCCTCCATGTGCACACCAGCCACAGGTATTATATCCCACTGCTAGAAACAATGATCACTCTGGCCTATGAACTTGGCAAGGATTTCCTGTCTTTGCAAGAAAAGCTGGAGGAATGGAAGACAAAGAAAGATCCCATACGGATTTTTACCCTGAAAGAACTTGCAGTTCGGGAGTATGTACGGTGAACACAAGAAACATTTAATGAAAAATTTCAAGAGCAAACTCTTGAAAGAGTGAGAACTGGAAATTACCTGTTTGGCTTGCATAATGCTGTATTAATAGGGAAAAAAAAATCTTCTTTGTTCAAAGGGACATTAACATCTATGTTGGAATACTTTACATGTACTGTACAGATATGAGAAGTAGCTGAGGAGCACCTTAAGGTTTTTTGAAGGAAATATGCCAGAAAATAATCATTTATGATTGGTTATTTAAACATGGCTTATTTTGTGTGAAAAGTCAGAATATGAAAATACAATTAATAAAGCACTTGAAAATCTATAGAATCAGAGGCGTTACATGTTCATGTGGAAACTACTTCCTTTCAAGAAGAAAAATATCTTCTCAGTAGATGCAATCTAAAGGGTGCATCTTCAGACCCTGAATGGAGTTTTTTACTCCTTCAACTGGGGCCCAGTCAAATGGCACTTTGCCATTTCTGAGGATGATGGAGTTGGTCCTGTTCCCACTGAATTTAGCTGTGGGCAGGAAGAGGGGAAAGGTTTAAAATCAACTTTGGTAGAAGCAAAAAATACAAGTAATGATCATTCCATCACAGATGAGGGGATCACTTAATTTCCCTTTTATAACTAACACAGTTTTATGACTTTCTGCATTGAAGGCACATTCTTCTTTGCTTGTCTGCCTCAGCAATTTCCCTCAACTGTAAGGTATCTCCCATACACTTATTTTAGCCATCTAGTAAATTAATTCTTATACATATTGTAATTAGCATGCCATTATCTAGCATGGGTCATTATTCTCTGCTGAACATAGTCCACTGAGTACTTTAAGCCCTGTACTCCCATTACAGATACTACCTGCACCACAATGACATTGTCTATAAATTATGAATAACTGTATTAATTCATCTCCCTGAGACATGAACGATTCAGCTAATTGGAAGTGCACTGAAGCTGAAAAACTTTGTTGTGCACTGTTACAAGAAGGATGTCTTGCAAAAAACACAGAATAATAGGACTGTCTAGGGTGGAAAGTTAATATTTTAAGTAGCTATTAACAGCTAGGCATTAAACACAAAATACATGGATTATTTGTTATTTGACAATTATTATTTTTTTCTAGTTATACCACAAGTAATAGAATTAAGAGTAATTAATTAAGAGACTTAAGGACTAATCTTCCCACAGCATAGTATATTGCAGGACAGTTAAAACGGATCAAAGGTAACACCTTCTTAGAGGCTGTGTGAATCAGTAACAAAGCAGTGAAGAAAAAAGCATGTCTGAGGTCTGCATCACACTCAGCAGATTCAAATTCAAGCAGAAAGGAAGCATGGCCTTCACACTGCTCTAACCCCACAACAGATTGTGATGAAAAAACAAAAGAACAGGAAAAAAATAATTCTTCCCTTTTGCCCCCTCTCATCCTTGTATGAAGCATCCCAGGCACAGATCTCTTGGATTCTCCTCAGTTTCTATGGGATGATCCATGATCGACCTGCACCCACAGACCCTCCCCTTGCAGCTGACCACAAGATTAGAGGGTCCATAAGTACCTGATGTCTAGCAAGGACAATTACCAGGAAAGCAGCACATCTGTAAGATTTATTAATCTCCTCAGAGGTTACATTGAAAATCCTCGTAAAGAAAAAGCTGGGATAGTTATGGCAACAAATGGGGACCCACAGAGCCTGGAATTTACCTGGAGCCCTGCCACAGACTTGTTCTGTACTTACCACAAGTGACTTCATCTCTGTGCCCCTATTTCCTCACACGGTACTTCCCCATAAAATTTCCTCATTCAGGTTTTCAGTACTCATAGAACAGGACAGCTGTGAAACTTGACCAAATAAGTCCAGCATTTAACTTGGAAATGTGAATTATGATAGAAGCAACACTTTGATTTATACAAACCTATTCCAATTCTCAAGGATATCTTGAGGCAGAAGAGAATTTAAGAGGTACTGAAATGCCAAACCTGTGTGCTTATTGTGGATTGCAGTTTCTGTACCAGTGCAGCCTTATTTTAGAATCAGATGTTATTTCCTAATGAACTACAGAAGTTAGAAAATTCTCTCTGTATTACATTGCACTGTAGTGAGACCTGGTCTGGCTGGGCTGATCAGGTCAGCCCTGCAGACAATCAGCCAATTCTGACTTCTTAGCTGTAAAATCTCAGAGAGTGCTTGTACCTGCCAAAAGAATTCTGTTTCCTTTTACACACATTTCAAGAGTCAACTTCCACATATTCTTTTTCAGTTGATTTTTACAGCAAAGTGAACTACATGTCATTACATGTAACAGAAGTGACATGTTATTAAATTAAAAGGTAATGGCACTCCTGCTCCCATACTGTCTTCCACTGGTAAGGACAGCCTGCAAGGATCAGGTTCCCTCTGCCTGTACATGGATTTATCTTCCACAGTCAAAAATGTGTAGGCAGGCAGGACAGATTTCTTGCAGGGAGTCAGACAAGATTAGCATCTTCCCCATTACCCTTGCAGCAATAGAGCAGTGCTGCTGTATTGTCCTGGCTTTCCATAAGGTGTATAATAATGGAATGGGTGCTCTACAGCAGCCACCTCAACTTAGCTTTACTCTGAATAATGTTTGGAGAATGGCTCAAAAGAGAAATTGCTGCCATTTTCATGCACATTTACCTGTCTTGCTTACCTGTTGCCCTCCCTTCACTCCTGCTGAGAAGCCACTGGAGAAACTTTGGCTGAAATGCTTCTGCAGACCCTGAGGGGTTCATGTGCTGTCCCCAGAGCACACATCTCACCCCTCCAGGTGCCAGGCCAGCACAAGGGAACAAGATTGCATCAGTGAGACTATTTTGGGAGAAGAATACTTTGTCACTGCCACGTATGCAAGGGCATAACATAAATCTAAGGAGGTGGTTCCTGCTTCCCCACAGCCAGTTTACTTCACTGCTGTACAATATTTGAGTGATAAAAGCATGTTTTATAAATAAATCCATTTCATCCTTCTCCTGTCTCCCCAAACGTGTTCTTTTACAAAATATTTCTTCTGTTTAATGAAATATTAACATTTCAAACATTTGCTAGCATGTGTCCTGTTTGCATCATTAACCTTCATCATCCATTCTCTGTACCTGGGAAGTGGCTGGAGTTGGTCTCCAGCTGAAGGTCTTAAGACCCAAGCTCTGCTCTTGGCAGTGTGCCAAGCCCACTGAGTGACTTTGATCAACTAATCAAATCTCACATTTCTGTTGAGTACCAATATTGCTTCTATAAAGCTATATTTTACTTACATTTTAGCAGTACATTCCAATGTATCATTTTCCCCATTTTACAGCTGGGGGAATTGTGGTACAAGTAAGAGAAGTGATTTTTCCCAAAGTCTAATACAGCAGTCTGGAGACCACACTGACTCCCTGAAGAAACACTGAAGCACAACTGGCACCTCAGCTTTGCAAAAAGAGACGTGTCACAGTTGTGTGCTCTTCATGAATGAACAGCCACATCACAGCTGCACTTGTGCCTGGTGTCATACACCTGAGAAAACTGCCTGAGATATCAATGCAAGAGAAAACATTTCTGACTAATTAATATATTTGAAGAACTAATAAGTGGTTGAATAGCACAAATATTTTAACCACTGCTTTACGAAAATAAAAAAAACAAAAAGCCTAAGAGATTTTTAGAATATATAAAAATCCTACAGACTTCAGTTTCAGTTTCCACAAGAAGAAATGGAAAAAATATTTTCAAATACATTTTTTCCAGTTTTAAGTATTTCTTAGAACTTTGGAATCTCTTTCCAGTACTCTTGTAGTCCAAACAAGAAGAATCACACAACCACTACAGGGAACTGTACACATCAGCAATCTGTTATCATCCACTTTTCTCAACAAGAGCACACAGTACATCAGAGCTTTGCAGTATGGTCTTACTTTTCCAATTGCTATTGACATTTCTGAAGTATACCCACAAGAGATAACAATCCAAGTATAAATTCACATTTAACTTTTCCCCAGGAAATAAGGTTAAAAAAAAAGAACGCTGTCCAACCAACATCTGCCTAGTATGTCTAACAGGCTGCATACAAGTGAGAAGAAAATTTAAATAAAATCTGGGCAGATCATCTCCAAGAGTCCATGGAGAGTTGCATCACGATCTATTGAGCTTTGCCCCATTTCCATATCAATTATTATATCATTTGGGGCATTAAGTAGATAATACTGTTTACACAACTTTCTAAAATAACTAAAGAAGCCCATGAGGATGCCTAGTTACTTATGAAACATATGCAGACAAGATGCTCTCTGTGCAATGCAGCATCTTGTTTACAGGGAATCCTGTGATCTTTATCACATACTTGTTATTAACTCCTGTTATCTGCTGCATCACTGGAGGATAATATTTGCTTTCCTGAATCTTAATAAGGCTAAATACATTTATTAAATTCAACAGATTTGTACAATCAGCATGGGAGTCGAGTTCAGGACACAAGATGAAATCTAGGTTTTGTGGCTGAGACAGCAGCTGAGCAAATCAAATCAAGAATGTTTATTTTTTTATTAGATCAAAGGCAGGAGCAAGATGTGTTGAAAAACTAAACACAGTTGTAATGCTGTAAAATACTGAATGTCAATTCCCATCTGGATGAGGTGAGAACCCCAAAGAACCAACCTATTTACATTAAGATCACATTACAACATATGTTCATCACACTTTGTGAATATGTATATTCTCTATAGATACACAAGACACAGATTTTCATGTCAGACCAGCTGAGAGTGGCTACACTGAAGTAAATTAAGTTACAATGTAGCTGAGAGCAGAATAAGCTCTACTGTCTGTATAAACATGTGCACGATCTCTATGGAGATGTGTGGTGGATGAGGGGAAAGAGGAAGCAAATTTGAATTTTGATGCTTAATAAAGGTTAGCCAAGTGTTTAAGAAAGTTACTTTTACAAGCACCACATGGTTTTATATACCTATATATATATATATATATATAGAGAGAGAGAGAGAGAGAGAGAGTATGTGTTAGCTTTAAACATACAACCTTCTTTTATGAGAAATAGGAATACATATGTAAGTCTGTGATTATTCAGGAAAATGCTGCAGAGAAATACACTGGATCAACTTCTATATGCTAATCTCTCTAAACTAGTGTAATTTAAATATTTTTAATTCCAGACAGTGCAAGACTCTGTGATAACCGATAGGAAATATTTTAAAAATTTACTGAAAATGCGGGATTTAAATCCCACTATTTTTCCTGGGTGGCAGTGATTCCCAAGGCTTTGCATGCCCTGGCAGGGGCTGCAGTTCCACTAGATGGAGCCGCAGC